AATTTAGAAGCCTGGAGAAAGGAGATGGAAGAAGATAGAGAAATCCAAGAAATACGCAGGGAATTACAGGATGCTCGGACGTAGAAGATAGAGCAACTTCTTGAAAACCTTGCTCAGAATTCTTTGACAGACAATTCAGGCAAAGAGAAATCTGATAGCATTCAAAATGAAGAAATGGAGAATGGGTCAAATAGTGGGATAAGAATGAATGGCAAGTAGTGGACAAAGATGGAGAAAGCTGGAGATTCCGGTATTTTCAGGAGAAGATGCTTATGGATGGGCAAATCAGGTGGAACGTTACTTTCAAATTAAAAGAGTATTGGAGGAAGAGAAAATGCAAGCAATTTTGATAGCCATGGAGGATAGAGCATTGAGTTGGTTCCAGTGGTGGGAATCTTGCTGTGTAAGTCCTTGGGAGAGTAGTTTAAAAACAGCTTTGATTAAAAGATTTCAACCGAAAATGATGCAAAATCTCTACGAATTATTGTTGAGCCTAAAGCAAACTACTACGGTAGCAGATTTTAGAGAGAAATTTGAACTCTATGCAGGTCCTTTACGATGTACTGATCAAAAATACCTCCAAGGTATTTTCTTGAATGGTTTAAAGGAAGGGATAAAAGCTGAACTCAAATTGCATTCAGTTGAGACACTTTCAGAGATGATGGATTATGCACAATTGATTGATGAAAAGAATATAGCGCTTAGCAAGGATAGTGTGACAACCGGAGGTAAAACAAGAACCAATTTCAAAGGATTTCCTTCTTCTAAGACAGTTACTATTGAAGCTGAACAAGTTGAACCTAGAAGCAGCCTATCAGGCTTGTAGCAAGGAGTGGGAGCAAGACCTCATGGCACTTTTAGAAGTAAAGGTGGGTTTAAAAGGTTGTCGGAAGTAGAGTTGCAAGAGAAGATTAAAAAAATATTATGTTTCAGATGTGATCAGAAGTACAGTCTTGAACATGTTTGTAAAAACAAACAGTTGCAAGTCATGTTGATGGAGGAAATATGGGAGGAAGTTAATGCTGCTGATTTTAGTCAAGAAGCTGGAAATAAAGCATTGCAACTATCCCTAAATAGTATCATGGGAATGACATCAAAGAATGCTCTTAAGCTGTGGGGTAAAGTGGGAAATCGAAGAGTAATAGTATTGATTGATTGTGGAGCATCACACAGTTTTATTGACTCCAAGTTGTTAAAGCAGTTAAAGATTCTTATAGTCTAAACACCTACTTATTATGTTGAGGTAGGTGATGGACACTAGATTAAATACATGGGAGCTTGTAAAGGTGTAATTTTACAATTACAAGGATTGGAGATTCAACAAGACTTCTTTCGGTTCAGATTGGGAGGAGCTAATATTGTGTTGAGAATGGATTGGCTAGCAAGCTTAGGAGAGGTAAGGGCTAATTTTAGAGATTTGACTATAAAGTTGGAGGTAGAAGGGAAAATGATGATGTTAAGGGGGTGAATCTACATTATCCAGATCCGTGACTTCTTTAAAATCAATAGTCAAAGTTTTACAGAATGAAGGTCAAGATCCTCCTACTTTACTTAAAGGTACTACTATACATTCAATAGTAGAGGAAGTTAATAGAATAACAGCTGAAAGAGATGGGATGTTAGTAATTTGGAAGGATAATTTAGTAAGAGCTCAACATCAAATGAAGTCTCAAGCTGATAAATATAGAAGGGAGGTTGAATTTCAGGTTGGTGATTGGGTTTTTCTCAAGTTACAACCCTATAGACTCAAGTCTTTGGCTAAAAGGAGAAGTGAAAAATTAAGTCCCAGATTTTATGGCCCTTTTCAAGTCATTTAAAGAATTGGACAGGTTGCTTATAAGCTCCACTTACCTGATTGTAATAAGATTCATCTTGTTTTTCATGTATCTCGTTTGAAGAAAGCTGTTGATTCTACAATACTTTCACAGCCATTACCGCCTATGTTATCTGAAGAATGGGCGTTACAAGTTTCACCAGCTCAAGTTTTAGATATCAGAATTAATTCTTCTGATTTTCAAGAAGTTTTGATACAGTGGCAAGACTTTTTTACTTATGAGAATTCTGGGGAATGTGTGACAGCTTTACAGGGGCAATTTCCTAATTTCACCTTGAGGACAAGGTGAAACTTTTGGGGGAGAGAATTGTTAGGAAACCTCCAATAAAATGTGTAAAGAAAGAAGGTGTAAGTTAAGAGATGACAGTTGGACTGTTAGTGAGAGGCAGTTAGTTCTGTTAGAGTGGGTTTTGGTTGTACTATTAGTTTTGTTAGTTGTTGAGGAAATATAGGGAAGGAGGGGGAGAAGAGAAGAGGGTCTGCTTTTGTTTTGTAAGGGATTCATGTGAGGAGAGTCTATGACCTCTTGAATGTCCTAGAATTGATCTGTAATTGTTTGAATTCAACAATAAAGTTGATGAATCCTCAGTTTTAGAAGATAGTTTCTATCACCCTCATACACAATACCAAGGTAAGTGGCAAACCATGATGATTACCCTATTGCACTAAATAAATATGGTTTCAGGCACAGACCAGGTTTGAGCCTTGCAGGTTGTCTATGATTGACTGCTACCAAATTAACAATTAAAGTTCTTTCATAGAGTTCTGTGATTCAAGTTCAATAAAGAAAACAAAAGAAAATAGGAAAAGAACAGCAGCAGAAACAAAATATTTAATACGTCCCACATATGGAATAATGTGGCTATCATTCAGTTCTTCAGTTCTAAAATGCAGTGAGCCAAGAATAAAAGTTTCTGAGTTCTACCTTAGATATCCTAAGATCATTGACAGCCAATCGAAGAGAATCATCTGATAGTATCAAGCGAGATAAAGCTCCTGTGCTTAAACTGCCAAGTAACAACAATGTGCAATTAAAACATACATCAGGAATAGGAAAATATAGTCACTTCCCTTCGGGAAATGTTAACACAAGCTACAACAAAATATTTTCCAGTTGCAAGAACTGTTTTCATTACATAAACGCACTACAAAAGTTTATCTAAGAAGCAATGTCACTCATTCTATGGGGGAAGCCCCATCTGTGCCACACATGTCAGAATCCTCCCCTTCTTACGTAGGAATGCATGCAAAAATTTTTCAAAAGTTTTCTATAAATGCTACCAATAAAAATTAGATTCAATATATGAGGACATTTTCATTACTCCCCATTTACTTTTAAGACAGTTCCAGCATGAATCATACAGAAAATATCTCAAGTAATATCTCCCATTCTTAGGAGTTGAAAATGTAGCCAACAATTATTTCTATTTTCTTGATAGGAAAATACATTATACATTTCAAAATGCAAAGTCTACAATATGCACCTCTAATATGAAGAAAAATTTACTTCCCGTCATTTTTCACAACTTATATATGCAAAGTATAAGTGTGAGTGTGTGTGTGTGTGTGTGTAAACAATATCTTCTTGCAGTGACTCTGATTTGTTGTGTCTAGAACTTACAGGACTGTGTCTATTAAGTGTACAAGTCTTGTTGGATTTAACAATGGCTCCAGGCCTATGCTTCTTAGAAGTCCTAACCCACATCACGACTGAAAAATATAAAGTGGGAAAAGTGGAAAAAGTGTAAAAATAGCCAATCAGATATAATAGTAGATTTCATCAACTATAATAATCATTTATAATCTGTTCTTATTACATAATGAATCTAGCATACATATTCAAATAACATCAACTCCAAACCTTTATGCTTCCTACCGCCAGGCAATTCGTTGAAAGTTATTATGGTATCCCAATACACCAATGAAAGCACATCATGCATAGTTTTTACAGGCTCAAGGCACATCAAGGCACAAAGGTCCCCTAGAGTATATGTGCAAGACGAGGCGCACACCTTTAGGAAATAAGGTGCGCATTAGATAATTTCTGAGATTGTTCTACATATCATGAGACTGTATATAGTATTCAAAGTTTCAAACTTATCAAATATGCATGACAAACATATATTTAGCAAACAAAATATATTCAAAGTCCAAACTACATTATGTGACATATTGAAACATGTCAAGTTATATAAAGGGGAAGATTATTAGTTAAAAGGTATGTGAAAAACATTAAAATTAAGAAAAATGCAAAGAAATTAAATGAATATTTCATAAAATTTTCTGAAATAAAATTAAATATTCAGGCTTTCTTAGAAAAATTAAAATATTTGGGAGAAGATTAAATACAAATCACAAGTGGAATGATAAAATTGAAGCTGAAATTGAAGGAAAAGCCAAAGGAGAACAAGAAACAGAAGTCAAAGTCAGAGTCAAAGCACAAGCAGAAGCAGAAGTCAAAGCACAAGCAGAAGTTGAAACTGAAGGAGAAGCAAAAGTCAAAGCTGAAGCACAAGAAAAAGCAAAAGCCAAAGTTGAAGCACAAGCAAAAGCAGTAGTCAAAGTCAAATCACAAACAAGAAGCAGAAGTCAAAGTCGAATCACAAGTGTGGATGATCAAAAGAAAGTTGGATCTAGAAATTGAAGTCCAACTCAAAGCCAAAGCTTCAAATGAAGTCAAAGACAAAGTTGCAGAAGTCAATTGACACTTGTAGGGTTTGACTTTCAGCACTTCGGTTAATCCAAATATATTATTGATCCATTCCATAACTCCTGGCCCATCCCTAGCCCAATAATAACTTTGTGACCCAAATTTCAGTGGTGAAAAAATGCCCATAAAATTCTTAAATCTGTCAAAGCACACCTCGTATGAGCCTTGCGCCTTACTTATATATGCGCATGCTTGATGGAACTCGCCTAACCTAATCTAGGTCAAGGTACTTCGTCTACACCTTGTCCCTCAATGGTGCCTTTTCTTGCCTTTAACAACTATGACATCAAGGCATAAAAACCAATGCCAAATATTCCAGATGTGGTCTATCATTGTATTTTACTTCAAATCATATATTGATGCCTTTGAAAAGTATATTAAGAGAACAAGATAAAAAAATAAATAAATAAAAGCATCGTGTTTATAATGCCTTTCTTCCTTCAATTAAAATACTTATCAGTACAAGGCTTTCAAATTTTTTATAGGCCTAATGACAGAAATTAAGAATTCAGAACTTGAAATCATGTACCCCAACTTTTGTGCTGCATCAGATAAAGAACCATCAACTGCAAAGATTAGATCTAACAAAGATTGCATTCCCTGTGAGTAAAAAGGAAAACTTAATTGTTAATATTTTCATCTTCCATATTCAATTGGAAATGAAAATTAGGTTAACTTTCAGAACATCAGAGTAACTTCTAGTTAACAACAGAGGAAGAAATGTGGACACCAGAACAAATTTTGGATTATTGGGCCCAATCTGTGGACCACAATCTGATCCTCTGATTGTTGACTTTGCAGGAAGAATTTGAAGGAGCTCTGGAGGAGGTGAATATGTATCAAGATCTACAGTATTCCTGACTAGCTCAAAATAATTAGAAAGTACTATTAGTTGAAATATTCAATCTCATCAGATATAGTAGTGCTAGACCAAGGTGTCATGGCACATATCATAGAAACTTTAAGGAAATTGAAAGCTTTTCATTGCGTAAAATAGAAAATGTAACCTGGAAAACTAAAAATATTTCAGACATGGACGCTCAAAATGAAAAGGTAGCCAAAAGAGAAACTAACTACAAGAAACTCAAAAAGGTCGTAGACAAGTGATACAAGAAAAATGGGTCAGGTCAGCAAATTAGGTGCTCAATTCAGAGACCCTTTGCCCAAGTCATATAAGCATGACTTTCTGTGTTTGTGGGGAACTGATCGTTATCAAATGTCCTTTAGATAACTTTTATTTTGTATAATGAAATAGAATGTCATCCAGCCAAGCCAATTGCACATTAATGGTCTATTTCTGAATGCTCAGAGCTGCTTTTTGTTTTAAGAATACTTTAATGGAAACAAACTAAATGAAATAAAAACTTGAATTGGATATTTCAACAGTTTCTCACCAGAAAAAGTTAGGGGAAAAATAAGACTTGTAAGCCACTACAAAAAAGTTTTTCCAAAAATATTTCAGATTGGAATGGAACATTACTTCCCATACACAATCCAGATAAGATAAACAAAATAGCCACCTATTTTATAACAAATGGCATACCAATAACTTCTCTTGAGATGTACTGAATTCGAGAAATATAGCTGAGGGATGCAAGAAAAACATACCCTTGAGAGCTAATAAAGTACGTAGCCGACCTAGGGCTACTGAGCGATTCTTATGTTGTGATCTCTCCTCTGCAGCCTAAAAACAAATAACAGTCCAGTAAACAAGTAGAGACATCTATATTAACCGAAACAAACAATAAGATATAGCTACCAGGGTTAGGGATCAAGATCACACAATCTATTAATCAATTAACAAAATGAATCCTTCTCCTATCTACATGGGGTCCGCTACATAAATTTTGTCTCTAATCCATTCAAATAGACTATATTTTTAGTTAAACCAAAAGTTTTTAAATCCTTCACTATTTCATCCAAGTTATTTTGAAATACCTCTACCTCTCTCATTAACTCTAAATAAAAATAATGACACTTTTCCTAACTGGAGCATCTATTGTCTACATTGCAGGTAAAAAACCATCTTAAGACTATTTTCTCTTATTTTTATCCTCAAGAAGTGCTACATTAACCATCTACCTATCAATCAATTCTGATTCTATCCTTTCTAGTTTGACCACATATTCATTCAAACATTCTCATTTCTCTTACACTCATTTATCTTTTCTTTTCTTTTCTTTTTTTTTTTTTTTTTTTTTTTTTTGAATTGCACAATATTCTGTCGCATAGAGTAGAGCAGGTCTTAGAGCCATCTTAGAAAGCTTTCCCTTCAATTGCGGAGGCATTCATGAATTGCATAAGACTTCTGACGCATTCATCCATTTAATCTATCCAGCCTTAATTTTGCACGTCAGATCTGCTCCAATCTCTGTATCCATACATACGATTGAATCTAAGAAATGAAACTGCTCGCCCACAGGCATTTCTTGCCCTTTGTTACCAATATTCCTTCATTTTCATTTTTACTTAAGTTGCACTTCGTATATCTGGTTTTAGTTCTACTTTGAAACTTCTTGATCCTAAGGTTTCCCAGAGGTATTAACTTGTTTTCATATTTTCAATAGATGCACATACTCATTATCTTGAGACCACATAGTTATCATTATTGTGGACCTGAACATGTTTTATCTATCAGTTTAAACATTCATAAAGGTGAGAAGCAAGGAGCAATAAAGACAACCAATATAAGAAATAAATAAATGACGTTACCTGGGCGATAATGCCAGTGGGAGATGCTTGAGACGGACAGCAGATTCTCGCTTGTTGCGGTGCTGCCCGCCAGGGCCAGATGACTTCAGAGTATCCATCTTGCATTGTCTCATCAGTTGTTCGTCGGTCATACCCAGAAATTCTCGACCACTGCACCGCCCTTTAACATTATCAGGCTCACCACTGACACTAACACTGTTATTGCCATTACTGATGATACTAGTAGAATCATTACTGTACTTGGACAAACCCCCTCTGATTCTGTGAACCATGCCAATGCCGTGATTGCTTCTCGGCCAAACAACCAAAGTTGGAGAAAAATGCAAGCGATGGTTACTGTAATTTCTCATCAGCTGCGACGAAAAAGAATCAGCCAATACCATAATATCGGTGCCGCCATTTATCTGGATTTTGCCAATAAACGACTTTAAAATGGACTGCGCCATCATGTCATATACAATATGATGACAAGGAGAGGGGCACCCCACACAATGATACAATTTTTTGCTCTACTCCTTCGGCTTTAGCTAGGTAGGCCTAGGGTTTGAAATTGTGCACGTGTTTTCAATCGATAGCGCTGAGAGTGGACTCAATTCGCCTTTTTACTCCCAATGATAATCGCCTGCGCCGCAGAGAAAGACTCGACGAATACCTCCACCGCCGCCGGCCCTCTGCAGCAGCGTGTTGACACCCGGTCTTTCCCTCCCTCAGCTCCTGAACAGCACGACAAACCGTCGCGCGCGCTTCGTAAGTTCTTTTTTTCGTTTTGTAAAACGTGTCTTTGTGAAATTGCATAATCTTTTGGGTAAATTACATCAACGATCACTGAACTTGGTAATTATTTCAATTAAGTTGCTAAAAATTTTAAAAAGAAAAAAAAAGGAATCTACCTGCAATACCTAATTGTCTCCGGGGCTCACAAATGATCAAAATGGCGTTTAAAGGCCTGCCAAACTCTTTTTGCTACCGAACCTCACCAGAATCTCATCTCCGCCGTCCATTATCATCATTTTGATCTAGATTAAAGATCCCCAATTTCAATCATGGGAATGGGAGTCTAGGCACTCAAATCTAATGCAACTGAGTAACAAAAAGTCTGCATGAATCAAAACATCAATCATGCTAACCTAGTCAAACTCATCACCATTTGGTCTAGTTCTATCTCACAAGGGTGGATGTATTTTGGAATTTTCACATTCTAGGATCTCAAGTTGTTCAATTTTCTCTAAGTGAGTTTGTACATGCAAAGTATCGAATCATGGTTCGTAATTGTCTAAGGCTTAACAAATTAACCTTTGAAAATTTTACTTCACAAACTTAACCTTGCAAAATGCCCTTCAACCACGTCAAAATGTGTGCCACTGTCACCGTCAAAATATTTTCCTCGATCAGTTTGTTTATCGAATAGGACAAAAATCTTTATAAGAACCCTATCCTTTTGGAATCATCTTAAACTTTAAGCTTGTAAATGGAGGTTAAAGATTTGTTCAATTAATTCCATCTTCTAAGGTAACATCCCATTAGTTTGTATTTTAAGTTTTATAAATTCAAGCACAAATTTCACACTTTTCTCTACTCTCACCAAGTTCTCTCATACATGATCCCCTTCTCTACTGTCCTTTTCTTTTTCTCTTCATTTTTGTTTAAAAGATAGAGAAAATATATGAATTCATCTGTAAAAAGAGATAAGGGCAAGGCTTGCCATTTAGAAAAATTATACATGAATATTTTTGTTTAAAAAAGTTGTTTCACATTTTGAAAAAAAAAATTCTCTCTTCTACTGCACATCTATACTGGAGAAGCAGCTTGTACCAGCTTCTAAAAAAATAATTTTTTTTTTGTTTTTTTCCCGCTTTTCTAATAATCACACTAAATGCACTATACTTAATTCAAAAGTACTTTTTTATTAAATAACACTTTTAAAAAAAACCACCCAAACAGGCTCTAGATAGGGTCCAATCAATACGGTCATTTTCCTTAACGAGGGAGTTGGAACCTTTTCTGACTCTGGCTGGGCAAGTGAAAGTCAGAAACCACATCTCTTTAGCAGCCTCCACTGTAAAAGATAATAAGAAAAACACTATTTTTATTTTATAGTCCTCAAATCCTTTTTATAACATGAACTTAATGTCCATTAAATAATTTACACAATTTAGTACTCCACTACTAGCATATACATTTCATATTTTATAACAAATATATTTGTTAATGCATAATGCCAAATTTTGCTTTCCTTTTAAACTTACTTTAAAATTTTTATTTATTTTATTTTATTTATATTTTTTTTTCATTTTTGTGCATTTTGTTGTCAAATCAGTTTCATAAAATGCAAATACCAGCTATATTTTTATTTTAATAACATTGGACAATTTCCATTATATTTTTTTTAATTGATATTGGAGCATAACATAATGATGCATTGGGACGTGTTTGGACAGTATCACCATCCCAATACAGTAATCTACCCAGAAAGGCCGCAAATTATACAAATTAATAAAACTCAACAACTAATTTTTTTAACTTGAAATTAAACTTGGCCTAATAAAAGATGAGTTTATGGCCGTCCAAGGGCGTTGGCTTCTGGGCTTTTTCTGTCCAAAGGTGTTTGGGCGCTTAACTGTTTGGCCGTGGGCGAGAAGGGTACGAAGAGTTGGAAGAGTTGAGTTTCTAATTAGAACCTTTTGTAGTTGGTGAGATTTTATAGTTAATGGAGTCAATTGATCAGCTAAGTATTCTTATTTGAATTGATTTGATTTTTATTTAAATTTGAGGAGGTGGCCCAAACGAAAATATATTTTTTGTAACATTATTTAAAGGACAAATAATACTTGTTGTATCAAAATTTTAAATTTCGTATACTCTCTATAAATATATAAAAGAGATATTTCTCTCTGTAAATAATAAATTTATAATACTTTCTCTCTTCAATCAACATTTTATTAAAATATTTATAAAACAATTCTATTTTTAAAGAATATAAATATCTTTTTATGCGTAAATATTGATTGATCTTTTTCCATTTTAATCATCTATAGTCGTTATTTATATTTAAAAAGATATTTAGTAATTTAAATGTAGAAATTTTGATAAATATGTTACGAAAAATGTTAATGAAAATAGTGAGAGTAATAAATTTTACATTTGTAAGGGAAATGTGATTTTTATGTGTTTCTAAAAAATATAGTGTTAAAATTTAAACTTTGTAGGGTTAAAGTGATATTTATATTTATTTATAAAATCTAAAATCTAAAATTTACAACAACCTAATATCAAAGATGCTTGAAAATTTGCCTTACAAAATATACAATTTGTGGGATTTATTAATAAAAATTCATATTTGATGTTAAAATTTGATCCAATAAATTAATGGAACATTAGTTAAACTTAATAAATTAATGGAATACTCAAATCGATATTCATACTGAATTAAGAGACGTCGAAATTCGTAACATAGTAGATCATGATGTCATGACTTACGATTAACGTTAGAATATCAACATATGACAGAAGCTATGCTGGGGGAGGTGAACAAACTGTCCTCTACTTTGATGCTTTGTTTGACTGACTGTTATAGCATAATGCGATGATTTGTCCATGTCCAACTCTTTGCCTGAGAGAAGGGACTGCTAACATAACGTAGCCTTGCAGCACTCTTCATCCTTACTCATTGAAGGTTGTATTTATATGTATTCGTCAATTGGGTACCTGCACATTCACCGGGAGAGAGAGAGAGAGAGAGAGAGAGAGAGAGAGAGAGATGGCTTCGGATTTGTTTCAAAAGCAAGGGAAAATATATCGGAAGAGCAGGCCAAATTACCCAGAAGAGCTCTTCCAGTTCATTGCCTCCAAGGCTCCCTCTCATCACCTTGCTTGGGACGTCTGCACCGGCAGTGGCCAGGCTGCAGTAGCCGTGAGTTTTCTTCACTCTCTGAATTTCTCTCTCTTAAGATCATCTTCTTTTCTCAGCTTTCAACAGAGCGACAACTATCTTTGAACATGAATCCCTCTACAAACGAGAGTTCAATTCACAGCTTTAGTTTTCGAAATTAAACGGTGACAAGTCTAATTTCGAAAGTACAATAATTTTAATATTTACCCAATACAACAGCTAACGAAAAAATTCGCAGAATATGCCCAATTTTTTTTTAATTTTCCCATAATTTCCCTTTCAAATATGATTGTAATGCAAGGCTATCACAACAAGAAAAAGGGGGGAATTCCGACGGAATTTACCGACGGATAGCAAAACCGTCGGTATAATGACGACATTTTCGACGGATTGTCCGTCGGAAAATTTTCTGACGGCTTACCGACAAAATAAATCCGTCGGAAAAGTATTTCATAATATTTTTAATAATTAATTAATTTATTTATATAATTAATTTATTTTAGACGGACTTCACTCCGTCGGAAAATAATTTTATATATTTATTTCTGACGTACTGCTACGTGAAAAAATAAATTTTCATATATTTTAAAATATATATTTTTCCGACGGGCAATAGTCCGTCAAAATGGACTATTTTATATATTTTAATATATATTTTTTCCGACGGACATCAGTCCGTCGGAAAAATATTTTCTTTATTTAATTTAACAAGTTTAATTTATTTCCGACGAAAATAATTCGTCGGAAAAAAAAATTATTAAATTTCGTATTAAACAATTTATTTCTGACAGCAATTATCCGTCGGAAATAATTTTATATAATTTTATATATTTATTTTAATATATATATATATATTTTGTTTTCTGACGGATTGATATCCGTCGGAAAAGGATATTGTTTATTTAATTTAATATTTGATTTGTTTCCAGCGGAACCTGTCCGTCGGAAAAAAAGTTTTGCAAATTTGATTTATTAAACAAAAAATACATACATGAGAAATAATTATTAAAATATTATAATTTTTAATAATTTTATTTCCTTTTTAAATATAAAATAATATAACATTAAAAGACAAGTATATATATTTTATATATTAATAAATAAAGAATATTAATTAAAAAAATGTTGTATGTAATTTATTATAAAATATAATAACACATACAAAAAAATATTATATATATAGTATAACTAAACTACATTTCAAATATTATATATGTAATACTATATATATACTACATGTATATATTATATATATACATATACTATTACTTTTACTATATAATAGTACTTATATGTACATATATTGCTATATATATTATATGTATAGTATAATATGTATAATATTATTTATATATGTACATATATAATATTACATATGTAGTACAAATATATGTATACTATGTATTTTAAATTATATATGCTATTGTGTCTACTATATACTAAATATCTAGATAGTATAAAAATATATATATTAACACTATACTATATCTTATAATATATGTATATTGAATAAATAAATATAATTCATACTATATATTTTAATATGCAAAAATATTA